ATGTTTTTTACAGAATGTAGAAATTAATACGAACATTACGAAATCATAAAAATAACTGAAATTTTCACAGGATTTTAATATAAAAATATCCATAATTTAAATATTTATAATATTTGAGATTTAGATACTTATTCAGATATTCAAACATCTAAACATTTGAATAGGAAATTCGAACATCCAAATATCTGGATAGGTATTCAGGCACCCAAGGACATGTTTAAATGTAAAATTTCTACCCCTACTAGGCGAGGCCTAAATCTAAAATTTGAAGAGAGGCGCTCCTCTTAAGGCTGTTTATTTTCTATCAATAACAGTTAAAAAAAAAGGTCTCTAACTGCCGGTATTCATCCTCTCAGTTCATATAAAATAAACTTATATTTATCCATTCCTAGGCTTTACACGTGGCTTCGCTCTCGTTGTGCCAAATACGTGTCGAAGATCGTCAACGATCTCATAAAGCTAAATTTTCTATCCCTCGGGAACGGTATTCATTTCTGAACAAAAGGTACCCTATGTCCTTTTCTGTACCCTTGACAATGTGTGTACAAAACTTCACGTTACTTTTTAAGCGCGGTTTCGCTTGCGTTGATGTACTAAATACGTCTCAAAGATCATATGAAACTAATTTGTTCTATCCCTCGGGAACAGTAGTTTTTTTATGAATAAAAAGTATTCTATCTCCTTTTCTGTACCCCGACAATATGTAGACGAGCAGTTAAAGCATGAAATGGTAGCAAACTAACAAACAAACAGACCCTCATTCGCATTTATAATATCAGTTTGATTAGACAATAACAGTAGATATAGTGTTTCATTTGTAATATTCAAAGATCATATGAAACTAATTTGTTCTATCCCTCGGGAACAGTAGTTTTTTTATGAATAAAAAGTATTCTATCTCCTTTTCTGTACCCCGACAATATGTAGACGAGCAGTTAAAGCATGAAATGGTAGCAAACTAACAAACAAACAGACCCTCATTCGCATTTATAATATCAGTTTGATTAGACAATAACAGTAGATATAGTGTTTCATTTGTAATATTCATTTAGTTATACAGTGCTTAGTTTTCAATATTATTTAATTCTTTTTTTAAATAAAACAAATAGTTTTTGAAAACGAGGCCTTGTCTTTAAGGATCAGTGATGTGATACAACCCCACCCCTCCATCATCCCTCCCGTAAATACGGCACTGGAGGACCCCATGGTTATGATGATTCTTTATACATGATGATTTATTAAAAATCCAAATTGCTTTAAAATCTAGGCATGCAAGTGTTTCAACCAAATTATAAATAATTATAATAAATATTGTAAATAAATAAATGAAGTAGAAAAATAAAAAACGGCAGTTCTACATTCTACAAAGTCATAACTGTCTCCCTTGTATTTTTTTTATTTACCTCGTTTATTTATTAAACAGTTCATATCACTGATTTCACAAATCCTTTTTCCTTTGTGGACAGCTGTAAAAAGTGTCATTTTTAATGCCAAGAAAGCTTGTACTTACAGACAATTTTGTATTTGATTGGACGATATTACCTTCGATAAAATAGTAGAATGGAATACAGTTGCACAGTTTAAAAATTAATTTCATTTTACATTCAAACAAACAATTCCTTAAAGTATATTCAGAAGAAAGTTCCAGTTTTCTTTCATCTAATAGAAAACAATTCCTCTGAGAAATTTTCATTTCTCGTACGTATTTAGAAACTTGGACCAGGGAAGGTGATAAATACACAAAATTACCCGTTTGGTCTCTCAAATAAAAAGGCTGTCTAGCATTTGTTTCAACTAAATTATAGGCATAATGAATTTTCATCTAGAAAAATGAATAAGTAAAAATTTAAGAAACACATTAGGTCAAACTGAATTAGTAATGAGCAAAATTGATCTTACTCTTGCGAAAATGTCTTTATACTAGCAAGACCATACTGAACGAACAAGACCAGGACAAAACCAAGGACGAATATTCAAGACCAAAATCAAATATACAAGATTAAACGAAAAATTATTTTTTGTGGATTTATGAGTTAAAGTATTTGAAAAAACTTTAATATAGTCTTTTCTTGGAACAAAACATGTTTAGTATTTGAAATTTTTAGTTT